GAGGTCACAATGGGGTCAATGATATCATAATGGGGTCAATTAGGTCACAATGGATCAATGATTTTACAACGAGGTCACAATGGGGTCAATGAGGTCACAATGGGGTCCATGGTGTCACAACAGGTGTCAGTGATTTCACAATGTGTTCAATGATGTCACAATGATGTCACAATTGGGTAGTGGGGTCACAATGTGGTCACTGTCATCACAATTGGGTCAATGAGGTCACAATAGAGTCCATGATGTCACAATGGGGTCAATGAGGTCACAATAAGGTCCATGATGTCACTATAAGGTCAATGAGGTCACAGTGGTATCAGTGATGTCACAATGGGTTCACAAAGGGGTCAATGATGTTATAATGGGGTCAGTGAGGTTGCAGTGGGGTACATAATATCACAATGGGGTCAATGTTGTCAGAATGTGATTAATGATGTCACAATGGGGTCACAATGGAGTCAATGACATCATAATGGAGTCAATGAGGTCACAATGGTTTCAATGAGGTCACAAAGGGGTCAATGATGCCCCAATGGGATTAATGATGTCCCAATGGGGTCACAATGAAGTCAACGACATCACAATGAGATCAGTGAGTTCACAATTGGGTCAATGATGCCATAATGCGGTCAATGATATCACAATGGATGCAACGGGGTCACAATGGGATCCATGAAGTCAGAGTAGGGTCAATGATGTCCCAATGGCGTCAATGGGTTCTCAATGTGGTCAATGAGGTCACAATGGGGTCAAGGGAGTCACAACGTGGTCAATGAGGTCACAAGGGGTCCGTGATGTCACAATGGGATTGATGATATCACAATGCGGTCAGTAATGTCACAATGGGGTCAATGAGGGCGCAATGCGGTCAATGAGGTCACAATGGGTGTCAATCATGTCACAATGGATGAGTTAACAATGATGTCACAATGGGGTCAATGAGGGCGCAATGCGGTCAATGAGGTCACAATGGGTGTCAATCATGTCACAATGGATGAGTTAACAATGATGTCACAATGGGGTCAATGAGGGCGCAATGCGGTCAATGAGGTCACAATGGGTGTCAATCATGTCACAATGGATGAGTTAACAATGATGTCACAATGGGGTCCATGAGGCCACAATAAGTGCAATAATATTACAAAGGGATCAGTGATGTCACAACGTGGTCACAATGGGGTCAATGATATAATAATGGGGTCAATGAGGTCACAATGGGGGTCTATGATGTCACAATGGGGTCAATGAGGTCACAATGGGATCAATGAGGTCACAATGACATCACAACGGGGTCAATGGGGTCACAATGGGGTCAATGCTTTTCCTAAAACTATGCCAACTGTAACGATTTATCTTGTGAGAATTCTCACTATGTTCTCTAGCTGTACTCTATTTTTTTTCTATGTGTCATGCAACTCAATAATTTTCCATTGCTACTGTTACAAAGCCATTAAACTTAACATTACTTAAAACTGATTCTAAACGTTTTTATATATTCCCTTTTGTGATTTTGTGCCCCCTTGTCTCACCAACCCCCTCCCCAATGGCTGTTATGTCATTGCTGTTATGTCCCTACTGTCATTTCAGTGATGCCAGATCCCAGTCAAGCTTTTCCATAAGGACACATCATTTTGGGACAAGCCGATTTCCCTTGCCTTCAGAGAGCGCTCAGCCCCGGCCTGTTTAGATTTGACATTAGGTTTAGATTCAACTTTAGGTTTAGATTAGACACAAAGAAGAATCAACATTACGTTTCGATTGGACATAGGCTTCAGATTAGACAAGAAGACAAGAAGAAGATTCAACATTAGGTTTAGATTAGACAAAGAAGATTTGACATCAGATTTAGATTAGACATTAGGTTCAGATTAGACATGAAGAAGATTTGACTTCAGGTTTACATTAGACATGGAGAAGAGTCAGCTTTAGGTTTAGATTAGACAGTAGGTTTAGATCCAGTTTTAGGTTTAGATTAGACACAAAGGTTTAGATTAGACACAAAGAAAATTCGACTTGAGGTTTAGATCAGACATTACGTTTAGCTTAGACATTATAGGCCAATAAAACTGTTGTGTTGTTCATTCACCCTGTGTCCTGTGAGTTGATTGGACTTGTGCCTTTTGGATTCTTGCCCTGCTCGTCAGAGCAAAACCAAGCCGTGCCTGGAGGCCCTATGAGCAAAGCACAGGGCTGTCAGTGAGATGCTGGGTGTACGGCTGCATCCCGGCTCAAATACAGCGTGTTCTGGTGCTGAATAGGGTCCGAGAGGTGCTCCGGCACCCTGCAGCTTTCTGAGGGTGTGCGAGGTTGGAGAAGGAGTTTACTCCCTTGACTTGGAAGCCTTTGCCATCCAAATGGAGAAGGAGATTGGCCAGCAGCTCACCGCAGGGTCTGGGTGTGACATCGACACTGCCAAGTGTCCCTTGGAAGTGACACTGCTGTTTCCAAGCCAACACATCAGGCCTGAAGCTTTCCGCACACAGGTACACACATGTACACACATGTACACACACGTACCCACACAGGGCAGCCCTCAGGCAGACGCACACATGCATGCACACACCTGTGGCAGACGCACACAGACCACACAAACATGCACTGAACGCACATGTGCTGCACACGTAGAGGTGCTGGTCTGTAACACGCCCCAGGTGGGGCAGATAAACCAGCTCCAGTGGCAGGGGATTGTCCCGTGTCACAATGGGGACACACCCTCACAGGCCTGGCTGATGCAACTCTTGCAGCCCAGGCCCCATTATGAGGTGTGAGGTGCCCCAGGCTATATCTGCCCAGCAGGGCCAGCACAGCCCCAGATCCGCTGCTGGTCGCAGACGAGAGCTCCTGGTTTGGATCCCCAGCCTTGAGCCTGTGTCGCCATGGCACCACTGCTGCTGCTGCTGCTGCTGGGCCTGGCCCCTGGCCTGGCCCGGCCCCTGAGGCCCTGCCCGGGGCCCTGCCGCTGCCGCGGGCGCCGCCTGGACTGCAGCGGCGCTGCCCTGGCTCGCGTGCCCCTGGCCACCCACCAACGGCCCTTCTCCGTGCTGTGAGTGCCCTGCAGCTCCGGGCACTGCCCCGGGACACCCCGAGAGCGGCTCCAGGGCCCCGCTGCCTGTGGAGGGCTGAGGGGCAGCGCTGAGGGGGCAGCTCCAGGTCACAGCCCTGGGGAAGGGGAAGGGTTTGTGCTGAGGGTGACGCTGCCAATGGCTTCTCTGCAGGGATTTCACTGGGAACGCGCTCGCCCTCATCCCCCCGCAGGCCTGGCAGGGATACCCGTGGGCTGAGAAGCTGTGAGTATTCACCAGCATCGGACATGGCACAGGGGTTCTGGGATCCCCACCCCTCCACTGGGCTGTGGAGCCGAGGCTGTGCCGAGCACCGCACCAGTGCTTGCCACGTGCAGCCAAGGCTGAGCTGCTCAGCAAGGAGGGGTGTGAATCCCCAGAGCTGTTCCATGGCGAGCAGTGCCCTGGGCTGGGAACCTCCTGCCGCCCGGGGCCATCCTTGCTCAGGCTGCAGTCAGGGTCAGCAGGCTGGGAGCAAGCCCCTGCTCCTGCCATGAGTGTGATGAGCCGTGGCAGGACCTGCAGAGATGCTGCAGTGACACTGCTGCAGGGTTGTTCCCCTGACAGCTCCATTGCCCCTGAGAGCCGCGGGTGCCACTGCTCGTGTTCGTCCGTCTCTTGCAGAGTCCTCCAGCACAACAACCTGCTGGCAGTGAAGAGGCGCTCACTGGAGGGGCTGCTCCTGCTGAGGCACCTGTAAGTATCCCCCTGCCCATGGTGGTGGGCACGGCCTCCCCCTGCCCTGGCCCTGCTGCCTGGCCCGCTCCAGGAAGGGCTTTATTCCTGCGGGCGGTATTGCGGCTGCAGCCAGAGCAGAGCAGGGTCTTGGTGCAGGGGAGGGCTCCACAGGGACGCGCTGCACTCCCATTGCCCCACGGCCAAGCAGGAGCAGGCGGCTGCTGCCCTTTCCCTGCACAGACCTGCACGAGGCCAAACCTTGTGCATTTGTCTCCTCTCAGCTCAGATGCCCTACAGCTGCCTTGGAGGGGGCTCATGGTGCAGCTTCATTGCCCATGGAGAGGAGCAGGCACTTCCCATTCACCCACACGATGGGGCTGGGGGCTCTGGCTGAGCAGGCCATGAAATGCTCCCCACAAAGGTTCCTCTCTCCTTGTTTGCTGCAGAACAAGCCCAGGAAGCGAGTTCAGGCTGGAACAAGGAACCTTTTGGTTTCTAGAGCCAGGCCAGAGGACTCCTGCGCACAGCAGAGCAGGGCTGTGCAGGGAGGTGACGTTTAGGAGCTAGGGGAAATAGCCCCATGTTGGTCACACAGGGCGTTACAGCCTGTCCCTGAGGCCTCACACAAGGGTGCTGTTGGGGCGTGCATAAAGAACCTGCTGTTACCAGAGAGGAAAATCAGCCCTGAAATACCCCTGCTGGGGTCAGAGCTCAGAGAACCTCTCTGAGCTGCAGCCACCCCCGTCAGGAGTGGGGGTTACACACCACTGCACACTACACACCCCTGTCAGGAGCTCCAGTTACACACCACTGCAAGTCAGTGCCAGAGAGAAGCCCCACGTGAAGTGAGGGCTATGGCACGTCTGTGCTGCCAAAGTCAGAGCCCCTGAGAGGAACCAGGACAGCGCAAATGTCACCAGCGTTTTGTGTTCTCCTGTTAACAGGGATTTATCTTACAACAAAATCCAGCTGATCGAGGCCTGTGCTTTTGAGAACCTTCCTTTCCTGGAGACCATGTGAGTTATGGGAGTTCCTTCCTGGTGTGGTTAGTGAAGCCTGTTTGCATTTAGAATCTTCTGGTGCTACAAAAAGCACCTGTTATTTTTAGAACAAGGCCTCTGGTTTCTCCTGCTGAAGGAGCAGCCCAGCTCCGGAGCTCAGGGCATGGCTGGTGGCCACACCAGGATGGGGCCACGGCTTCTGCAAAGACAGCAGGAATAGAAGCTGCGTCTCGAGTCTTGCTGTGTCCTGGAGCAGGCAGAGATGCAGCACGCATGCACTTTGTCTCCTCTCCTGGACAGGTTAACAAGCAGCAGGAGAGAAAATGGCAGTTTCCTCCCAGTTCCACCATGGATGTGGCTGTTTCCTACAGATCAGTGCTGCTTCACTCCAGCTTCCTGTGGGTCAGACCCAATTCATTTCTGTGCTCTCCTGTTTCCCCAGAAGCCTGGAGGGAAACCTCATCACCGAGATCCGGAGTGACACCTTCCGGGCATGGCACGGGATGCAGTTCCTCCAGACACTGTGAGTGTTCCAAGGGCTAAGGGGAGCTCAGAGCAGTGGCCCTCGCCACTGTGTTCTGCTCACCTCTTACCCCAGATAGGCAGCAGCATCAATGCTGAATGACAACTCTGTCAGGCCACGGCTTTGCCTGGCTGGGTGCAGGATGAGTTAGAACGCTCGTGGACAGTGGGAATATGAGAAATAGGGAAATCCTGTTGGAGGGAAGCCACCAGAAGGTGTGAGCTGAGGAGGAAAGAAAGAGATGCTGTGTTTTCCAGAAGCAGCACTTCTGGGCTTTTGCTCTCTGGGCTGGAGATAGTCAGGACCTGATGTATGTTGTGAATCTGCCCATCAGCATCTGCCCCGGCCTGGAACCTTCACCCCAGGCCCTTACTCATGCATGAAGCACTGAGCCCCTGCCACTGCTCTCATCCTGCACCCCCCGCTCACATGGGGTATTGTTTCATTTCAGGGTCCTGAGCCATAACCCACTGTCTGTTATTGAGGACACATGGTTCTTCAAGCTGCCTTCAGTCACTCACCTGTAAGTACAGACTCCTTGTTAACAGCTTACCATGGATCTTTCTTTGTGTCTCTGGGTGCCCCGTGGCCCGGAAAGCAGAGAACCAGCAGCAAATCCCACCCTTCTCCCAGCCTTCTCCTGCTGGAGGCAGTGGCAGAGCCAGGCAAAGGCTGAGCAGTTCTGGTGTGTCCCAGCTGCAAAGCCAGCACGGAGCAGGGACGTGGACTTAAACTTGTCTGCATTCATCTCCCATGGGATCTGCAGGATCCCTTCTGGTTCAGACCCATGGGTGGGAGCAGGGCACAGCAGGAAGGAGAGATGGTTTGCCGTCATTTCTCCTGGATTAGGTAGCAGCAGATCCCCCTGCGGCCAGCACAGCAAGCAGCAGGGACTGGGTTTGTTCCCGGAGCAGAGGCTGGTGCTGCCACCTCAAATGTAATGTGTTTCTTGAAACCCTTGCAGGGACCTGGGTGCCACACGAGTGACTTGGCAGACGCTGCTCATGCTGCTCCTGAGAACATCCCGCTTGGAAACACTGTGAGTGTGCAGGGGCTGGCTCCCATCGCCAGCAGATCCCAGCTGCTGGGACAAAGGGTCTGCGTGGGGAACAAACCCAGCACCACAAAACTGTCCATTGGGACACAGGCAGTGAGGGGCAGTTTCCCAGAGCTGCAGCAGAGACTGAAGCAGACCCCTGACGCGCTTCTGCGCGCCACCTGGGTTGGAGTCGCTGCCCTGGGTCGCGATGCTGACTGTGCACAACCTCTGTTCTTTAGCAAGCTGTCCATCGACACGGCCTGCTGCCTCTGCCAGCACAAGCACAGCACTGAGACCCCGTGTAGGACCCTCAGCTTCGACTGCATGAGCGTGTGCAGCAGCACTGCTCCCCGCTGCGGTAACTGGCCCCCAGCCCTGCCCATGTGCCCCAGCTATAATGAACCTTCTGAGCCTGTGTCTGGCAGAAAGCTTGTCACTGATGTGCTCTTGGTGTGTTACAGCTCCCCTGGCAGAGACACCAGAGCTCCTGAAGGGACCTGTGCCACCCAGGAAAGGGAACAGCAGCTCTGTGTTGAATCTCCAGCCTAAGGAGCCTTCACTCACGGAGCAGAGAACCGTCACGCTAGCAGCTCTCCTGAGCCTGAGCAGCCCCAGTGCATCAGCACCTTCCCCTCAGCAGCTCTCGAGACAGGAGGGCAACACCACCAAGGAGTTGACACTGGCGCTGCAGAGCATTCAGCACAGGGACTGGAGCAGCTCTATTGACACCGGGAGGTTCTATTTTCTAGCAGAGGGGCTCGTGGCACAGCTGAAGAACAAGCTGCACAAGGCCATGAGCATCCTGACTGTGAAAAGCACCAGCACAGCCCGGCCAGCGCAGAGGTACAAGGGGCAGGAGGTGGCAGTAGGGGAGGGAGGAAGAGCCATAAGCTGGCAGCAACAGGAGCCTGGCTTAGGCTTGACCCCGTCAGAGTTCATCTTATGGGAATCAGTGCTGAGTATGAACCTCAGCAACATCATCCTACTCTCCAGCCACCAGAGAACACCCACCCCTGCTGCAGAACAGCCCCCTACACAATACCCAACAGAGGCCTCGCATCTCACCCGGTCTGGCGAGAGTCAGGATCATTCCGACGCCATGGAGCAGACCAACACGACTGACGGGATGGAGAATGAGGATAGTGCAGAAGATGAGGAGGAAGCACCATCCCCAACACAGGACTCTACTGGGACAGATGAGCAGAAGCAGCAGAACACTGATGGGACAGTGGGCAGCAGGGCTGCTGAAGAAGAGCCCGCAGCAGCAGAGGGTAGAGCAGAGCAGAGACTGAGCATTATCCAGGATTTCTACTATGCTCTGCTGGCTAAAAACGGCCCCCCTGCTGCCAGCAGCACGCCAGAGGACACGGCTGCAGCAGAGCGCTCCTCTCTAGGCGGGAGACCACCCACCGCCCCTGCAAGCACCACCACACCCGGGCAGCACAAGGAGCAGGAACCCCCGACCCCAACGGCACAGGGCAGCTCCAGCGCCCTGGGCAGTGTGGCCAAGCAAGGACCCCCCTTTGACACCCTGCTCAGCCGCCACCTCCACTCTCTGGTGCCAGATGGAGCCCTGCGCAGGTTCATGGCACAGGTGGCTCGAGCCCTGCGGGGGGACTGTGGCCTGCCCCAGCTCCAGCAGGCCTGCGCCAAGATTGCCTCGAGGACGGGGCTGCTCCTGAACCTGCTGAGTGAGAGGCAGCGTGACCCGGAGCCCTCTGACGACCTTGAGCAGTGTGTGTGGGAGGAGGATGCCGGCACCTCTCGTCCCCATGCCCAAGTCCAGCCCAGGCAGATGCACAGTGAATCTGCAGAGACGGTAGGAGAGAGCGGGGCATGGCTGCGTGTGCGTGTCTGGGCAGTTGGTATGGAAGGGGCCTCCCTTTCCTCCTCCCCTCTTCTGTCCTCCCCTCCCTGCTCCTCTCCTCCCTGATACACTCTCCTTTTCTCCCAGGAGATGGCCAATCACACCTCTGATCGCTGGCTGCCGCTGGTGCTGATGCTCTCGCTGTTCACTCTGATGACACTCATCCTGGTGCAGCGCTCTTTCAAGGTGAGCCAAGGACTCGTTTGGCAGAGCGCTGCCAGCCAAACCCTGGGGCTGGAGAGCACAGGGGCAGGGGGGTGCTCCCACAGTGCTCATGGGGCCCGGGTGCTGCTGCGGATGCCTGGGGATGTGCTGGCGAGCACAAGACATGTTTTCCCAGACTTGGAGCTCATTGTGGCACCCCACCCTGGAGCTTGGAGGTGTTCAGAGCTGCTGGGAACAGCTTGTCCTGGCTCCTGCCAGGGTCTGTCCCCAGCTCTGCTGTGCATCTTCCCAGTAGCTCCTTCCTTCAGGGGAGCTGCAGCTCCCTCTCATCACAGCCTCTGCCATCAGCCCTTACCATGCTGTAGCCTGCAATCCCTCGCCCCAAGCATCCCCTCCCCAGCTCCTGTCCTGGTCCTGCTCTGTTGCAGCACCCGTTGCTTCCAGCCATGCAGCAATACCCTTGCTCCCTGCCCTGAGCCCATACCCAACCTTTCTGCATGGTGCTGTGGCTCCAGTGTGTCAGGCTGTGCCCGAGCACAGGGCAGGGGCCCAATCGTTGCTGCGGAGTTTGAACCTCCCTTTGGGGCCCTTCTCCTCCACAGAGACAAATGAGCTTTCATGTCTTTACAAGGCATCGTGCGTGTTGCAGGCGGTAGGCAGAGGCAGGGAGCAGCGGGGAGCTGGGCAGGGAGGCATGGGGGCTCTTCTTAAAGGCGTGGCTGCTGGCACAGCCTTGCACGTGTGTAGAAGACACTGGGCTGGAGGAAGAACCTTCCGGCTCCCCTATGTTGTGGAATTCCATGTGGAAACCTCCATGTTCCGAGTCCCTGTCTCTCTGTCACCACGTCTGTGCCAAGAAACATGCTGAGGATTCCCAAGGCAGCAGCAGATGGTGCCTGAAGCGGTAATTCCTGCCCCGCCCTGCCCCAACAGGCTCTGCTCCAGCAGTGCCCAGTCCTGCCCAGAGCCCCCCCACCTCCTCCAGCACTGGAGGAGTTCATCCTTTGCTTCTCATGCTTCTGCCCTCCTCTTTCCAGGTGCTTTCAGAAGCTGCAGCCCAAGTACTGGAGCAGGAGCAAGGACATGGACGTGGACGAGGAGCAGGCACTAGCTCAGACCCTCTACCCCTTCCCTGTCTCAGGCCTGCTTCTCACCTCTCCAGTCCCTGCCCCGCAGGAGGCATCCCTGGCTCAGCTCGATGCTCAGGAGGAGGCAGGTTGGGACGAGGTGCCTCTGACATAAGGTAAATGTGATGGTGGCAATGCTGGTGCTGAGTTCAGCTCTTGTTCCATGTAGGAACTGCTGAGGGTTTCCTTGATGTTGCCTCCTTGGCTATATCCTTAGGTGCTCTTTCCTTGCTGTTATTTTCTTGGCTGTTGTTTCTCAGCTCTTATTTCCTTGATGTTCATAGAAGCATAGACCCACCGAGGGGTTTGGGTTGGGAGGGAGCTTAATGCTCACTCAGTTTCAACTCCCTCCCCAGTGACTTCTGTGACATTGCTGTTATGTCCTTGCTGTCATTTCAGCAATTCCAGAACCTCGTCAGTCGTTCCCAGTGCTGTGTCATCAGAGGAAAATTGGCTTTTGCTTCCCCCAAAAGCGCCGGAGCCCCATCGTGATGGTCCTTATCCATGGAGCAGGACTGAAGTTCTTTGAAGTCACCAATAAAAGTGTTGGGTTGTTTGTTCTCCCCGTGTCCTGTGAGTTGACGGACGCACGCATACCTCTGTGTGTGTGCACACAGGTGTTGCGTCTCTCTGTGCTGCCCACTGATGTTGACTCCATTAGACACACGACTTGGCAAAATAGAGCAGCAATCAATTTTCTCCTCTTAGCACATGGACATGGGTGTGAAATTTTGGAAGGGATTTTTGCATGAATTTGTCAAACCACTCAGAATCAATACATGACAGTATCTGTAAATTAAAAGACAGTGTAATGAAGTTAAGGGAAGATGATAAAGATTGGTTATCATCACTTTTCTCTAATTGAGGTATAATGGGGTTTCTATTGACTTTGGTTAAGGGAGGATTGATCTTTTTGCTTGCTCTCTTTGCCAACATATGCATTGTACCTTGCTTATTACAATGCATGCAGCGAATGTTATCCCAAGCTTTTGAAAGACGTGTATACTGCATTGCAAAAACAAGAAGGGGGAACTGTGGGGGTTGGAATGTATTGAAACTGTCAGAGACCATGGGAAGGAAGAACCACAGCAGGCAATTAAGAGTGACCCATCCCTGACTGGTATTTGGAAGATGTTGGAACTGTCAAGGAACAAGGACGTCAGAAGTGGGAAGAGGATGTTGGTAAGAAAATCTGATAGAGCTTTCACCTGATGTAACCACAAGGCAAACACAGATGTGCTTGGCTAATTGCTTGGCAGCATATAAATATCGTGTAATCTTTACAATAAATGATCCAGCTTGCACTCTACCTCTGGGTCCGTGCCTCCATCCTCACAGTGTTTGCGTGCTCTGGGGACGTTTTTGGGTGTCCGTCAGGTTTTGTAGGGTGGTTAGGTGTTTCTGGGTGTTAATGGGGGTGTTTTAGAGTTATGTCATAGGGGTGTTTCAGCTGTTCCAAACCCCTAGTAACCTGGCCTTGAGCACTGCCAGGCATGGGGCAGCCCCAGCTCCTCTGGGCACCCTGTGCCAACGCCTCAGCACCCTCACAGGGAACAGCTTCTGCCTAAGAGCTCAGCTCAGTCTCCCCTCTGTCAGGTTCAAGCCATTCCCCTTGGCCTGTCTCTGCACACCCCTGCAAAAAGCCCCTCTCCAGATTTCTTGTAGGCCCTGCTTAGATACGGGCAGATTGCTGAGATGTCTCCCTGGAGCTTTCTCTTCTGCAGGCTGATCACCCCCATCAGCCTTCCCTTCTCCTCCCCAGCCTCTCCCCACAGGCACCGTGCTCCAGTACCGGCCTGTCCTGAGGGCCCGTTGCTAAACCCACTCCTGCTTGCCAATACCGTTCCTGAACTGGGGATCTGAAGCCTGGATGGAGCATTCCAGAGCATCCCTTCCCTTGTTCTCCTGCTGTGCTCCTGCTCATGCAGCCGCCATGCTGCTCTCCTCCCTTGCTGCCAGGGCACACGCTGCCTCCTGTCCAGCTCCTGCCCACCCAGACCTTTCCCATGGGCTGCTCCCAGCCAGGCAGCCCCAGCCTGGGCCATTGCAGGGCAGTTCCCTGCAGGGACCCCTGTGTCCCCTGCTCTCCTGCCCAGGACACCCGGAGAGCTCTGCAGCCCCCCCAGGCCATCCCATCTCCCCACTCCAGCACAACAGCTCCCCAAGAGCTCTTCCTGCTCCAGGCACAGAGCAGCCATCCCAGAGCTGGAGCAGCCAGAAAGCTGCTTTCATTCCCCTTCATTCCTGCCATGGCAGGACTTACCACAGAGAAGAAGCTGCTGCAGGATCATTTACTTTACTCAAATCCATCTGCTGCCTCCGGGCATGGGGCACTGTCAGGAGAGAAAAGGCAGTGACAGGGTAGGGGAGACTTCCCAGGGTAAAACCAGTTATTTCCCTTCAGATTTCCACCATCCCCTCCCGTTCAAATGCATTTCCCTGTTCCTGGTGCTGGGGCTGAGTGTGCTGGGTGAAGCCCTGTGGCTCCAAGGCCTCAGCTCTGGGCCACTGCAGGGGTTTCATGGAGCCGCTCTGCGAAAGCTCCGATAGCCATGAGGGATGTCAGGGGTAACAGAGGTTCAGGGCCTGCACTCACAGCTATGGAGATGGTGGCTGCAGAGCAGAGCCTCGGCGTGACTTTATCAGCATTTTCTCACAAGTTTCTCAGCTGACAAGTGCTATTTTAGGTGTAGAAATCCTCATTTTTGTAGCTGACCGTGTGGTCAGTATTGGGACAGGACAGGACAGGGGAAAGGGCTCAGCAGCCCGTGGATTAGTGCCTAGTCTGGAGAGCTGCAGAGTGCATCGCTCTTGCTCCCAGCTGCCCTGCACTTGTCCTTGCGATACCCCAGGTGTGACTGCACACACAGATAAACAGCGAGAGAAAAGGAGAAAGAATGAGATACAGAACAACTGGACTCTGGTGCCAGGGAGGGAGCCCTGCTGATTCAAAGGGCAGAACTTCTCTCTCCCAGCCCTTGGTGCAGCTGTGATACACAGAGCAGGAAGCAAGGGACTCTGAGGGCAGAGTGCCGACCCCAAGGGAAGGCTTCACACTCCTGAGGACGCTGTGGGAGAGCTGTGCCTGTCTGGGGGCAGGTCGCAAGTCCAGCAGGACAGGCAGAGCAGACAGGGAACTGCAGAGGAGGTGTTCTAGCGAGACAGTCATCTCCTTGCCCAGCAGAGCACGGCCAGCAGCCACCTCCACTGCCAGACCCCAAGAGAGCTGCCTGGATGCACCCTCCCTAGTGCGGGGCTGCACTTTCCCCCCACTCCCTGCCCATGGCTCTGCTGCCTGGAGCTCTCCCTGCCAGGAGCTGCTGCTCTGTGCCCAGCTCTGCCCCCTCCCAGTGCTCCCAGAGCCCATCCCATGGGCTGTGTGCTCAGCTCTGCCCTGCACACCCCTGCCTGTGCAGGGGCTCAGGAGCAGCTCACACCAGTCCTGACGAGACTCCCGGTGCCTTCTCCAAAGCAGAGAAGTGAATTCCCAGCTCCCACTGCCCCACCTGCCCACCAAGAGGGGAAAACATCAGAGCTCAGCATCCTTCCCTATCAGGCAAACGCTGCCTCACTGTCTTTCAGAGGGACCCTCTGAAGAAGTGCTCAGAGTGACTGCAGATTGGAGCAGCGTCACCCACCCAGCACTTCCCTTCCCTGCCAGGGGCTGTTCCTTTCCCCTCAGCTCCCCCCCAGCTCCATGGGGAGCTCCCGGGCAGGCCGAGTGCTGACCCTGGCAGGCAACAGAGTCCCTGCTCCTGCACACAGCCTTTGGGCTGCAGGGACCCTGCTGCAAGGGCAGCGCTGGGCACCCCCGGCTGCACACCCACATTCACACCCTGCAGCCAGCCCCGGGACAAGGGACCTGCCTTGTCCTGTCCCTTGCATGGTGCAGAGGGAAGCCCTGCTCTGCAGCACATCCTCCTCCTTATCTACACAGAGACCAAGAGAGAGCTCCTGACAGATCCCATGCACTGTGCGAGGCAGCAGCTTGAGGAGATCCCTCCAGGAGCTGCAGCTGCATTGCCCTGCACCCAGAGCCTTACTGTATACAGGGCTGGGAAGGTTTCTCCTGCAGGGAGCTCTCAGCATCCTCCACTGCCAAGTGCCTTTAAGCTCTCTGTGGCTCGCAGGTCTCCTCCTGAGCAGAGCTGTCTCTCTGCAGCACTGCCCACTTGCCAGCATCTATCTGCGTCCCAGGAGCCCGGCCCAGCTCAGCAGCAGAGGCCCAGCTCTGCCTCTGCCCCGCTGGGCTCCCTCCAGGGCTCCCTGGGGCTCCAGGGGACCCCCATGGGAAACAGCCTGAAGCAGGCACTGATGCTCCCTCCTCAGCTGGCAGACACATTGCCTTCCTGCAGTGCCATTTCTCTGATGAGAGACAGAGTTTGGTCTGAACATCAGCTTTCCTTAGAATTACAGAATCATTTAGATTGGAAAAGACCCGTAAGAACATTGAATCCAACCAATAACCAAACACAGTCAAGTCCACCACTGAGCCATGTCTGTAAGTGCCACACCTACATGTCTGTTAAATACCTCCAGTTATATATAAAAGGTCTTTTTGTATACCTAAAAGACCTTTTTTATACCTGAGGGGTCTTTCATATACCTCGAGGGATGGTGACACAGCCACTTACTTCTGTGGGCATCCTGTTTCTTGTCCCATCATCAGACAGGACAGCCAGGACAGGACAGGCTGGGATCTCCTTTACCCCTACTGAAAGAAGGGATTCAGCCCGGTTAGCTGAGGCATCTCCTCCTGCGGTTGTAGCCTTGGGGCTGGAAGGGGACTCAGCTGCCTCCCATGAACACCACAAACCCACAGGAGGTCTCACTTCCTCAGAAGGTGAAAATGCACCATTACATAGATGATGTCTTAATCAGAGGAGATTGCCCCAGCGAGGCAGGGGAAGCAGCAGCAGCAGTGTGGGAAGCACTACATGATGTCAGAGTTACACCTGAGCACTGTCAGAAACCTGTGGATGTGGGTGGCCCAGAACGCAGGCTACGTGTCCAGCACCCTACAGTCCAAACTATGTTTGACGTTACTGGTCACTGCGTGCGGCTGAAAATGAGCGTGGTGTCACAGGAGGTGATTTGAGGATGAACTGAAAATGT